TCACAGTCCAGGTGACTACGTGACCAATCCTGGGTCTGCATAACGGGCACTGCAGCGAAAGCCGACTCGCGCGTTCGCCGTTCCGACACTTGCTTCTTTGCACGCCGACATGTCCGTGTCTCTGTTCCTGTGTCCTAATACACCCGGGTATACCTACGCTCAAGGATTTATTACTAATTCAGAGGTGATGTGCTCATGTACCTCGTGCGAGTCAACCTGCAGGCCTTTGTTTACCCATCTCTTCCGTAGGCCAATAGGTTTACGAGCCTACTCGTCCTGCTTGTTTTGTCTTCGCTGGAGCGCACGTGTGGCTCCGACCCGGTTTCTTGTCTGCCTCGTTTACGGGTCTGCCCTAATTCTAGGCCGGGCTGTCTATAACCCGCGTTTGCCACTCAGCAGCTCCGGCTTGTTCCATCGTCTCGATCTCTTGGTCGTCTTTTTTATCCACTCGTCGCTTTGCCTGCACCCACGTCTGTTGCTCGCCTACATCTTTATCTAGATTCTTCGTGTCTGTATATGTTTATATTACGTTATGTTAGTGTGCGCTTCAGAGGTATTCTGACTCAGGCAGTCGGGTGGGCGGTCGGTCAGGCAGCCAGGCAGGCGGACCAGCGAGCTCGCCCTGCTCCCGCGACAGCCCTGTAACCCCATCCCGCCTGCGACCTTACCGGCCCCGGCGATGGCTCATTCTGGGGCCATCCAACCAGACGCCCTTAACTTGGCCCCACACTGCTCCACACACTTGCACTAACACCTTCACACTGGCGTACACACCTATGCACAAGCGCACGCACACGTATTCGCGTGCAGACGACTACCGAAACTTGCTGCGTCCTCGACTTCGTTCTCTTCATCCAGGCGTAGTCTCCAGATTGCCGGACCTCGTGTGTGGGCATCTTCGTGTCTTTCGCCCTCTTCTCTGCCCCTATGCATACCTTATGCTTGCGGGGTTGGGCCAAATACAGTTGACTGAAGAAGTCCGAACGTAAAACGGCACTAGCTTAGGGCCTAGACTGGGCTGAATGCATTAAAGGGTAGTACGACCTGCAGACGGCAGCACATGTTAAGCCTAAACAACCGGTTCTTCCACCGGTAACTTGGACAGCGTACACAACAAAGGTTAAGGCTTGGCACGGAAAATTTTACTTGTCGTTTCAGGCTTTGGTAGACTACATCTAATATTTGAGACTATCACTCGCCCTACCACGGCCCATCAACTACATAGTCTTATTCCAACCACCTAAATCCTGTTAGATGCTTTAGCAACTAGGTCCGGAACAGGGCACTGGGAGGCAGGGCTCAACTGTCATTTCTTGTGCCACCCTGGCGACTCCTGTCGATGTTTGTCGGCTACGGCACCTCAAATACTCCAGCTGGCTTCTTGAACGGGATCGTTTGAGTCTAGAATAT